ATAGCCAATGCCTTGGCCAATTCAAGAGTACGAGTAGTCTACTCAAGGAGACTGTGATTCAATGATATCACACCCCACCTAACTCCGGGCGGGAGCGGTCCGCTCTGTCTTTTCCCCACCCACCCATCCTGCATCCACCCATCCCTAGAATCCTTACGAGTACAGATCTTAGCTACGGTACGAGCGCGGTGCAGTGCAGTACTGTACAGTCTGCAGTACTCGTACTCGTACAGTACTCGAGTTCGGCGCCGTATATTTACAGTATCGACAAGGATCTGCGATAAGTTACAGGTAACCCCCATCCATTCACCCATCTATCTGCGCTTCACACTTCCATGTGTGGAAACAACAAACAGATTCAACATTTCCTCCACCCGAGCACGCCGTTTCATGATAATGCCGGAAGCGCGGCGACGTACTGTAGATATATAGATGTGTGTGGATGGGTGGAGGCGCTGGTTGCCGCTTCACGTCGCACGCAGACGTTAGCTTATCCATCATGATAAGGCGAACGATTGGAACTTGCACCGCCTGTATAGTACTTGTACAGTACTGTACGAGTACTTGCGCTCGGGGTGGAGGCCGGGGGGGGGCGTGATATCTTTTGTGTGAATACCGGTACCAGTTAGTGTCTGGGGGAGTGGCAGGTGGGTTACAGTTATGACAGCAAACTTTGCAATCGATGATACTACCGTACTCGAGTACTATACTTTTCTTACTGCCAGTGCTCCCCCGCATTTCATTTTTACCCCCTTGAAATGATACCGGTATGATGTCTTGAGTCGATCACTCTACTATACGAGTATTTTATTTCATGCTCTGCGGAGTAATTGGGATCAACTCCACGAAAAGAAAGCTTCTCGAATTTAAATTACCCCCTTGGCCTACCTACGGTAACTTGAGTCCCTGGAGCTTATGGTTACAGTAATTAAGCTATAAGCCACCGCACTAGACTAGACTTGGACTAGACTTGGAGAATATCGAAATAGGGACCAAAGCTACCACCACCACCACCACCACCACCACTCCCCACACAAACTCTGACGTCTAACTTAGCTTTTTTTTTTTTTTGTTTTGTTTTGTTTTGTTTTGTTTTGTTTTGTTTTGTTTTGCATGGCAACATTTAGATACCGATATCGTGTCCCGCTGTACACTAACTGTAACCCCCCCATACCTGTGTCATATCATACATTAACCATACGTATCATACCTTCCAACTGGTCTCCCCCCAATTCATCATCAAAAGTGAGTTATACAAGTATAGTCCATGCCAACAGATAGACCACCATCCACGATATAATCACCCAATCAAGCTTGATAATAGCTAACTTACCCCTCACCGTATTCCTTTCCTTGCCCGCCTTGTCCAATGCGGGTATGGTAAACATTTACTCAGTGGGGTAGGAGGAGGAGCGCCGCCTTGCTGTGTTGTTGTTCTTCTTCTTCTTCTTCTCCTTCCACAATGCTTCTTCCTCTTCATCACTTGTTTTGTTAATTTAATTGTCTACGGTACGGTAGGAGGATTGTCCGCTTCCCTCGCCTTGCATGCTTCAACTTCCCTCACTTAGTCTACTGTACTGTACATTTACTTTTATCAGACCAAACCGGGTTTTTCTCGATTCCTTGCTTTCTTCTTCTTACAGCTGCAGTACTAAGTATGTACGTATGTATGTAGTCTACGGTGGGGATTAAAGTAAGATGTATTATTATTATTATTATTATTATTATTATTATTATTATTATTATTATTATTATTATTATTATTATTATTAATTTTTGTTTCCGCCTTCTAATATAATAACCCGTGATCAATTATAAACTGAAAAGTAATCCTCGGGTGTTTGCCGAATTTTCATCCCATTCCTCGTACTCCTTCTCTTCCTCGTCCTACTCTTACTATGATACTGCTGATATCAGCTGCTGCTGCTACTTTTGTTGGCGATACTGTGGGTAGGTAGGTAGGTAGGTAGGTAGGTGGCAGTCTACAGTGAGGGAGGGTGGGAGGGTAATCATTTGGGAATTGATACGTTGCTGATATTTATGGGAATGGGGGATCTTTTAAAATGAATGCGCTAAGTTAACTCGTATCGTTGGCTATCGTATCCCCGGACTACGTCTTCCGGGTTCACTTTAGGGTTTATCTCCTAAGGGAGGGGATGTGTGTGTGCGGGGGGGGGGGGGAGGGGGGGAGGGGAGGAATATATAAGGAGGAGGTAGGACGTGCCTTTCTTCCATTTTTTCCCCTTCTTTTCTTCTCTCCTCCTCCTCCTCTCCCTCCTCTCCTACCCTCCTCTCCTCTCATTCTTCCTCAAGTGACCCGTCGTTAGTCGGAATTTTGGAACCCCTACCTACCTCTCACTCAGTTGCTTTTGTCCTCCGCTGGCGGCGTTGAAGAGCTGGGCTTCAGGATACATACATACATCTATAATAATATTATATATATACAGCGCCTTCGACATATAGATATATACATCTATATTTCGCCAAACCTCCTCCTAATTCTCACCTTCAGTACTCACCACCATCGCCTACAATCAAAATGACACCAGGCCTAACCCCCCCAACCGCCCCTCTCCACTCCTCTGGCCGTGACCTTGAGGATATCTCGGACCAAATTGACGCTGTCAATGTCCTCCTCTCGTCCCCCACCCCCACCGCTACCACTACCGCCGCGGGAGACCCCAAACCCAAAGCTAACTTCCGCCAATATGTCACCGCCCCGGCGCAAGTCCAGGACTTCTACAAAGAGCAACATGAGAAGCAGACCCTCAAATTCAACCTTGCAGCTCGCAACGCCTTCCACTCAAAGGTGCGCGCAAGAATGGGGATCTGGGAGGCAATGGAGAAGTTGAACACATTGATAGACGAGAGTGATCCCGACACCTCCCTCAGCCAGATCCACCACCTCTTGCAGACGGCCGAGGCGATGAGACGGGATGGAAAGCCCAAGTGGATGCAAGTCACCGGTCTAGTCCATGACCTAGGAAAGCTCCTCTTCTTCTTCGGAGCCCAGGGTCAATGGGACGTCGTCGGCGACACCTTCCCAGGTAAGCCCTCGTCCCGCGACTCTATAGAGAATTGAAGCAGTCTCTGATATGGTTAACGAACAGTCGGTTGTGCCTTCGATCCGCGCATTATCCTCGCCGAGTCCTTCTCCGGAAACCCGGACACCAAGCATCCCGTCTATAGCACGGAAATGGGCATCTACACCCCGCACTGCGGCCTCGACAACTTGCTCCTGTCCTGGGGCCACGACGAGTACCTCTACCATGTCGTCAAGGACCAGTCCTCGCTCCCGGAAGAGGCGCTTGCAATCATCAGGTACCACTCGTTCTACCCGTGGCATAGAGAGGGCGCGTACAGGAACTTTATGAATGAGAAGGACTGGAGAATGTTGGAGGCCGTCAAGGAGTTCAATCCTTACGACCTTTACTCCAAGAGCGATGCGCCCCCAGTTGTGGAGGAGCTCAAGGTTTGTTCGCATTACCGTTCGTGAGGGGATTCCTCGCTAATTGGTGGGTACGTGCAGCCGTATTATATCGAGCTAATCGACGAATTCTTCCCCAAGAAGATCCTCGATTGGTAAAAAAAAAAATAGAAAAAAACCCAAGTGAACAAACTTGGTCGGTCGGTCAAACACAAAAGCTTTTTTTTTTTTTTTTGGATCCGGGATTTTTCTCTTTTGTCTATTCTGGTTCCCATTGTTGTTTTTTTCCCCTCTCCCCTCCCCATGTTAATATCCCCTCTAAATTTTGTCACTGGGTGTCTTTTTCTTCCCCCCCCCCCTCCCTTTTCATTTCAATTTTTCTTGGGGGGGTTTTTTTTTTTGGGTTTCTTTTGGAGCTATAACCGGTTATTGGTCACCTATACGACCGTTAATGTAATTCTCAGACCCCATACTAGCTCTTTGATAGATGTATATAGGCTACAAAGCGCCCTTTGTCGCACTGTTTGTTCCCTTTTTTTCGAGAGAGAGGCAAAAAAAGTTTCCCTACGAAGCGAGCAAACTAGTGAGGACCGGCCGCCTATCGGTCGCCTTTCGTGCACTGTGCAGTTCTAGGCCGTAGTTAAACCCCCCAGGATAATACTCGGGTATTGTACATAATATCATTGGTTAGATCGCTTTTTCCTTCCTTGCTCTTTACTGTGTTCATCCGTTTTATCTATTTATTTTCCCTTCTTTGGTTCTTTCCCCGGACATGTACTAGTACAGTAGCACCGCACGTTTGACCTTGTTGACAGAGCCCTAATGGGTAGACTAGGGGGTAGTTGGTTGCTTTGCCTAAAGGTTTTTAAGTAAAGCAGGACGGATCGGTGATTACCGGTGTATGGAGGGCAGGGAGTGGGTGGGAGAGCGAGGGCGTCATGGTATGGTACGAGTATGGTATGGCATGGTGTCGGTAGGGTAGTCCCATGATGGGATATAGTGCGGTGGGATGCAACATGCATACATACATACATATGATACATATATCCCGGATGAGCGAGCAAATTCATGGGTGAGTGAGATTCGGTGAGTAAGGTTATTGCTGACCCGTGACTTTAGTGCGATCAAGATGAGATTCGGGTAGAAGAGTTTGGAGATGTTTGCTTGCTCGAACAGCATCGCTTGGAAAAAGTGTTGCATTGTAAACCGGATATTGCCCAAAGAAAAAATCAAGGAAAAAAAAAAAATGATAGTGCCATACATAAATACTATCGCAAAATATATCCTTTACCCAGATCCCCTACGGTCACCAAGCCTTTCATGTGTATCACTCGCTGCTCGTTTTCTGGCTCTTATCCTTGTTTTTCCGCCACCACCGCCACCACCACCTCCTCCTCCTCCACCTATACTAATACTGCTCCCGCTACCGCCTGTAGAAACTCCACTCCCCATCCCCGTCACCATCTCCACCACAGCGCCGCCATGCTCATCCGCCATATCCCAATCTTGCTCACCCCCAGGCGGCTTATTCCGAATTCTCTGGTATAGCCGATCAAGTGCGAACTCGATCTCACATCTAACCCTGATGAGTTCCACTGCGGGCCAGATACTTCTTTCTCCCTTCAGGATCCAGTAGTCCAGCGTCTCGGACGTGGGGTTTTCTAGCAATTGTTCAAAGTCCATCACCTTCAAATGTGGGACTACGGTTATGCTGGCACCCGGTATGGTCTCGTCCACTAGGAAACGGCGGACTGAGAAGGGGAGGAGACCCAGGAGGTCGAGCTGGCTAAGGCGGTGGCGGAGCTCCAGTCCTAGCAGTCTGAGGAGTTTGAGGGTTATGCCACGGCGGCGGTGACGGTGGAGGTCTGAGGTTAGGAATGGGGCTAGGTAGGGTCTCGCCTGGGAAACTATGAAATGGTTTACATTGAAGAGCTCTGCTATTCTAGTCGTCGGTGCTTCGCGGTCGGTATAGGAGACTCGGGTCCACGGCTGCCAGACAATTTCTTGTGCAGCCCAGGGGACTATGGCGCCATTTTCGTCTTTGCACATCAGCTCCACCCTGGCGTACATTGTCGATGTCGCGTTTGATGCGCAGGCTGCTGACCAAATTAGGACGTTTGGTGCTGTGACGTAATTAAGCAGGGTTGGGACTTCGTGCTTTCCGGCGGTGGATACGGTGATGTTTAGTATTCTTTTGGTGCGTGTGTAGGCCTCTTCAAATGTTAGGTCTCCGACATTTGCCCGTACACATTCCTCCAGAACTTTAATGTCCAGGAAGTAGCCATACTGCAGGAATCGGTTTATCTTCCTTTTCCAACTGCCTTCCTTCCTTTTAGTGTCGAAAGCACTGAGGTCTATGCCACCGCCCGCCAAAAACCTGAGCAGCTCTCCTTCAGTATGAATCCCAACTAGGGCTGCTATAAGTGCTCCAACTGCGGTTCCAGTGATAATCCTTGGTAATAGGCCACGAAGATGGAGAGCCTTTACCACCCCTAGGTGGTACAAGCCGAATATTGCTCCCCCCTGGAGAACCAGGGTTGAACGGCCAAATGATTGACGAGTATCATGAAGAAAGTCAAGCTTTGATTGTGATGTTAAGGACGCTAGGGGCGGGAGCGAAGCAATATGCTCCAAGCATATCCCAACCTCTGAGATATAGTCTTCGATAAGCCGCTTGCTTCCAGCGTAAGAGCGATTATACAGATTTATGTTGGATATATTTCCGAGGTTTCTTAGAAGACCTAATTATATTATTTAATCAGCACCCGGAACATACCAGACCCAATAAGAAAACCAATACGGGAACATATGTACCGGAACGTAGAAGGTTAACTAGCCGTAAGGTGTTCCCTTCATTCCTTGCTACCGATAAACTCTGAAGACGATCGAGAATGAGTTTATAGTCATAATATTGGCTTGTCGGATTTTGCCGCCTTTAATGCGATCAGCACGTCATAAGTAGCCGGGTGGAGGTACGCAAGTGCAGGGGCACGATGGGTAGACGGATAAGAGCACATGCAACAGAACTCACCAAAGATCATTCCCCAACACTTCGTCTAGCTGAGCCGCAATCGCTTCCCATTCCTCATAAGATTTCGCTGCAGCGAGCTTCTCTAGGAGCTCTTCTTTTGGCTTCTTGCGTGTATACCATCCCCAAAGTTTCTATTCCATGCTTAGCCAGACACAAACTCGGAAGACGAGTGATATAAGGAACCTTTTGCCAAAACATTGAAACCTCTACAAATACGTTGCATATTGATGCTACGAGCACAACAATACCGGACTACTCGACAATAAAAGTTAGGGGCACACTCCACTGGAGCGATATAGAACAAACAAGAACAACACTCACAGGCATAGTGTTAAACATGGCTTCTATCGGCTGATACATTCGGATAGGAAGGAGGTGCAGAGAGAGCAAACTCTCCCATTAAGACAAATGATGCTGACTTGGTATAAATAAGTATATTTCAAGCTTGGTTGTCGCAGCGGTGATGATGGTGAAGGGTGATGAAGGGTGGTGGACGGGAGGGACGGGAGCTCACCGGTGGGAAACATTTGAAGGGTTGAGGCTCATGTTTGTAATTTTTCTTTCACATGTCAAATTTTTGGCAATCGGGTAAACTACCAGTACGGTGCTGTGCGTATAGTAAGTACTGTTTGAACGCGTGAGTGGATTCATGATGACCAACGCAGACATTCGCAGATATGTTGTGTGGCTTATTCATCAATAGTTCGTTGACATTCTGGGTGAAATCGTGGCAACCTGGTGTTGAATCGAGAAGAGAAGTCAGACGAATCGCAGCATCAAGATAAGGAGCAAACACTGGTGATAAGTTATATTTTTCCCCTTCAGTTTCTGTTCCTTTCCACATCCGCTCCTTCAGACAGATCGTGGAACAAATCATTTCACCTACAAATCCCCCAACCCATTCCATTCTTCGTGACCACTCCATATATATACTGCCTGGCTCCCGCTCTGGTGAGGGTGGCCGTGTCATTATACTCGTACATACATCGTTAAGGCAATTCCGGAGGTCCCGCGTATCGGCAGCAACACGAGATCCGTACAGTACGAGTACAGTACAGTGATTGCTATCGAAAACCTACCACAGAGCGCCTGACCCGAAAGAGGTCTGACAGCAACACAGCCCATCTAACACCCATTAGAGGGGTTTAGCCGCACCGTGCTAAGTTATAATTGTGCTGTTGCTAGAGGCAACAAGACGATTCACCATGGTAATGGCACTAGTCCAGGTGTTTATATTTTCATCAAAGATATACGATATGGTAAATGGTGTTAACTAACACATAACTTGCATGGTATTGCAACCTGTATATACCCATAAGCAAACAGCTCGAAGAAGTTAGCCAAACAAGATTCCAAGATATAAGCCACAATAAGATCATCATCATGTAAAAATGATCTACTAGGATAGTTCTTATACTCTACCCCTGGTCCTCTATTCTGGCAACAAATGAGCCTGCCCTCAACAGATTCACAAGATCCACCGCATTTGACTCCAGTACCACTAATCAATCAATGTGGTAGAAACTCTCCACTTAGTGTAAACTCACTTTTCAGCCAACCCGAATCCTTCGAAATTGAGCGAATCGATGAGGCAGTACACCTTGACCCCCCTGTACACGAAGAACGCCTCCGGCAATGAGCTAGTTTGACCGATTCTGAACAGCTTTTGCTTGTCCGCCTTTGCTGCTCCAGTGGGGAGGAATATTTACAAGGGAAGAAGAAGTTTTAGACACATAAAACGGAGGAGTTCAATCACAGTATGGGGAAAAATATTGCAAATGCTAGAACAATTGTAATGCAAATGCTTAAGTTGTATACTACTCAGTCTACTAAGTTGAGTTTAATATCAAAAAGACCATTTCTATATTCATGAGAAGTTGCTTACCAGTAGCAGTAGACTAAGAATTAAGGATAGGATGCACGATCATCAGGCACAGCATTTGCAGAAACTGAACTAGACCAAGCCCTCAACGCCTGGAATGAATGGATCATTCATGTAGAGGAAGATAGTTTGACTAAGCGGCTCAGAGAGAAGGAAGAAAAAGGCGATCAGGAGAGGGCCAAACTGGATCAGGAGAATATGTTGCTGCCTATGTCGAAAAAGAAGACCTTTCGCGAAGCTGCTACTGCCCTCACTGATACCAATAATACAGATACCAAGTTAAGCCTTACAGTTAATAGTACAAAGAGTATATCTAAGAGAAAAAAGATGGAAAATGCAAGGGAGAGGAAGAGGAAATTGCAGGATCATGCTATTGTCTTAAATGAAAAGTATGTCAAGCAAGGAGATAGCTTAGTTGAAGCAGTGCAACATATGAGCCAAGTATTTGATTTACATGATATTCAACAAGATAATGGAAGAATGAGTGACCTCGAAAAAGAGTCACAAATTATACATAAGGAGATAGCAGAGCTTAAGGAAACAGTGCAAGTGTCACGAATGTGGCTTGGCACAGAAAGGGTTTTCACATGACGTATAATTATGAATCATAGGTATATTATTGTTTTGCGCATATGACACAGTTGGGTCATATGATTTGATTTGATAGATTTCGCATATGACTCGAATATGAGTCATGGAACCAGTGCCTGGTAAGTATACCTTGCAAGTGTGCCTTGCGGGTATGCCTTACACATACCATTTATATTTAACATATGACCTCGTTATGAGGTCATGGGTTTTGTGCATGTGACTCATTCAAGTCATATGACTTATTTATTGTATTATAATTGGTTTATGGGTTTTCGCACATGACCTTGCTACAAGGTCATAGGATTTGAACATGTGACCACTTTGGTCATATAATTAGTTTGTTATGATTTGGTTTCGTGCATGTAACCACTTTGGGTCACATGACTATGGGTAGGAAGAACACTATATTAGGAGGCCGGTATGGCCAGGAGGATAGGTTCTTCACACTTTGTTCTAAGTACTTTTCCTACTTATTACTATAACGAAAATAAAATACCTTTATACTCTTTATCATTATTATGACCTTTATTATTGTTATGCCAAGGATAACTCTTCACAAAGGAGAGTTAGAGAAAGCTTACAATAGGCATTCCCGATAGAAGACAAAGGTCTTGTACTATCGGTAATATAGGTATAGGCCTAAAGCTATCATAAGACTAAGAAGAAGCAGAAAGAGAAGTATCATTCCCTGTTGCCAAGAACTAAAATATCCGAAGGAGGATTGTTAAAGCAAGATACTTCATCAAAGGTCAATCATATTCTTGAACTTTTGTTAAATAAATAAACTTGTCTTTCATAATTTTTAACTATTTTTATAACTGAAGAAGACAAAAGGAATCATTGAAAAGAGTAATAAGAAGCGTAAAGAAATGCAAAAAACAAGACAAATAACTAAATTACTAATAACATATACTGTATATACAATCTTCCAAGCTTGGAGGAGAACAATTAAACTTATCCGACATAATATTTCTCCCTTTAATATAAGTATAAATATTAGTGAGCAAGGTAGAAACAAGACAATATACAGCAACAGGAGATGACATAATTTTAGATTCCTTTTTGTAATTATTAATTCTCCATAAATTAACATTTAAACCAAACCCCCATTCGACTAAAATTCTAGCACTAGACATTAGCAGATTTGCTGCTTCCTCGGTATGGAAGAGAGCTGTTCCAAGGACAGAAGCCCGATAGGGACCCAAAATACCAAAGGCAGGCCAATAGGCTTGATTTCCATAAAGATAAATCCTTGGTTGCTCAAGGCCATTACCAAGGAGGTTGTGAAGAATTTCCTCCAGCCCAAAGCTATTCCAAATCATCCAGCTACTACTTGGTCCAGTATATGGTCTATGGAGACTTGACATAATTCTATCTGAAGTCATGACTGATTAGAACTGAAACCTGTATGCCTTCTTATGGCCACTGTAATATATGGACTGGTTTTCACCTGGACGGTAAAATGGGCGCATTGTGCCATCTATCCATCTCTAAACACCTCTTCTTCCTACTACCTTTTCAACCGCAGTTGCATATTCAGAGATCTTATTTAAGATAAGTCGCTGATGATCCCAAAAAAGAAAATTCTGATAGCGGCAGGTTAGATGGATTAAGATACCATTAAAAACTAATGATAAATAGCTGCAAGAATGGCCAAAGATTTTAATCTTATCTTTTAATCGTGTTCCGGTAGCTGAGAGGCAATGTAGTAATATACACAGGGTGTGCTCGGGTGAAGGCTGCAGGCAGTTATGCCATACAATATTCTCAATTTCCAGAATTGAAATCAGAATCCAAATTTCTTCTTTACTAAATGTAAATTTACTCTTAGTCCTTTTCTAACTCAACTTTTCAAAGATTCGTACTGGAAGTACTCAACAAATTCCTGATTATCATGGAAAATATGATATCCTGGATTGTCTATTGACTAGTCCAGTCGTTGGATATAGCTTATTGGTGGCCATATTCGCTTGTCCCTTTGCCTTTGCCTTTCTTCTGCCTCTTGCTGTCATCTAAGTCACAAGCGTCTTCTGATCATATGGTGGTGGCTAAGAGCTGCAGAAAGAACAATCGTACTCACTAATCATTTTTGGTACTTCTCTGAGACCGCCATAGGCGGAGACTGGAGACTACTCATAGATGTAGTTGGCTGAAAATTTTGATATCAAGCTGAGACTGTGAAATCAAGATAGGGAATACATTTGCAGGAGACTTGCAGTTGTGAAATTCAATCGAGATACATCCTGAGGCTTGTTCAATCACCTGCCACTGTTACATAATAGCACAAAACCTGTTTTAGCACTGGTTGGCTAAACCCACACTGTGGGCAATCACGTCTTCCCCAAAACTAGTTGTTCCATTTAGCACGGAACACTGATAGCACAGTACAGCTAAACCCCTCTATTCCCCAGTAAACAGCAAGGTTTTTGAAAGAAAATAAAATTAAAAAAAACATACAGGCGGGCCAAGCCCAGCTCTAGTTAGAGTTTAGGTCGGTTCTGGAGAGTAACGGCTGCCATAGCAGGCACCGGTAGTGGACTAGTATTGGAACCTGATCAAAACCCCACCTTACTCTACCGGTATTTTAACTACCGGCCACAATGCTACAAGCATGACACTTTTATGAGTATCTCCTTCGGTCCGTCTTCAGGGTATCCGATACCCCTTGTTCCCGTGTATATAAACATATAAGTTCATCTCCTTAAACCTCCCGTGTTTATATCCACCATGCCAGAATATGGAACTCGATGGGCGTCCAATCCCCTCCACCCACCATGATATCATACATACCTGCACCCTAACATCACCCACCACCAGTCTGTAATTTCGGACTGTACGAGTAGTCTATATACCGGTACTCTAGCACCGTAGCCCGTTGAACGCTAGAGTTTAGCTCAAGCGACTTATGGTTCCATTTCATTCCGCCACCGGTACTCGTACATTCCTGATCAACACCAAAACCCACACAGTCTAGGAGTGCTGCTGTTATCTATCCACACCGCAACCACTTCCGATCACCTTCTCCACCCCCCACATCTCTCCCCCACATCTCCCCCCAAAGTCTTCCAACTTCAACTCCCTGCGAAACTGCCGGCACTGCTCGTCGGCCATTGCTCCCTCTAGATTTGAGGAGCGGTCATTGCCTTTTCATAGTCGTGTACAAGATAACCGCCCCGCCACAATCAGCTGAGTACTTCTCGTTGAGGAGATGGCACCTCCTGCTGCCGCTATGAGCCATCATAGAGCAGAAAATGCGCAGCCTGTTTCCTCTTCAGGAAGCACTCTGAATCCTCGGGCGAACCCGTATCTGGCTGTGTCTTCCATTTCTCAGCTGGCTCTTCTCACTCAACAGGAGGTTCAGCAGGCAGCCACGGCTTCGGGAAATGGGGACCGGCCCGTTCAATCGACCTTGACAAATGGTGCTTCACGGCCTGCATCTATACGAACGGCGCCCTTGAGGGGAAATCCGATTTCGTCTAGGCGTGGTTATCCAGGACCTCTGGGTAGAGGGAGTCCAACTAGATCCAGGAATAACGATGAATTCCATCGTAGATCTTATAATGATCGCGCTCTGCCCATGCTCACTTCGCTTCCTAGCCGATCTGAAATCCTTGCTCCCCGGCCCACTACACGAAACACGGGTGACCGTGGTGACGTAGGACGGGGCTATCATAACGGCAGAGAAAACAACCGCCCCAGTCACAGCAACTCCCACCCCACCCCATATACAGACCCAACTAACCACTCCTTATCCGAGAACACAGTTTCCATGGCGTCTGCCACCAACATTCAGAACGGCAACAACACTCATAGCTCCCGGGGCCTTCCTATCCTGATGCAAAACGACTGGAAGAAAACCGACGAGATCTCTATCGAAATCTCGGGCATTCCTCTTCCATTGGATTTGTACAATCTTTATGATATCTTCTCGGAATACGGCGAAATCGAGTACTTGAAGCTTTACCATAACGATTCAGGGGTCCCAGACGGCAATGGAAGGATTAGCCTTTCGTGCGTATTGCTACCTTTCGTTTTATTTCTCACTGCTGACAATTGATCAGCAACGTTGAAAGGCCCTTTTGGGAAGAGCCCTTCCGTTATAGTTTAGGGGTGCAAGGTCCTAATGGCTCTTTAAAGCTCCGCCTAGACTCTCGCCGTAATAAACAGAGGACGGTTCAAAGTCCTGTTGATAGACAAAAGAGCTATCCACAAAAATATGTTTGCATCCCCAAGCCTCTATCTCTGATGCTTCAGTATGCGATTTCTAACAGTTTTCCCGTGAGACAGTCCTTCAAGCTCGCTCTCCTCCAGTTCGGGATATTGCATCAAGAGGATAAAATGGTGCCGATGTTCACCACGACGGGTCAGGACGAGGCAAGTCTTGATGTCGACCTCCACCGCCGGGAACTTGACATTGTCTTCAAAATATGGTTGAAAAACGATGCGAGTGCCCAGACTAATCAGTCGCAAGAAGAGGTTGAAGGGGATGTTAATAATTACGACGACGACGATAGCAATGCTCCCGAAAATAAGCCGACCGAAAGATTCGAGAGGTATCGCTTTGGGGTTCCCTTTTCCCATTTAGAGAAACTCGTCGAGGTGGAGACTTTATCTGCTCCGGGTCGTGCATTCCTGATCGACCTCCCTTCGGCACCCCCCTTCTGGAGGAAACTCCACAATCCACGCCTATCTATTGATGATCGCATCAAGTACTGGACTTCCCGGAACGCTTGGTTCCGTCAAACGTCCATCACGTTTGATAATAGCGCAAGAAAGGGTCTTCCAATCTCCCTCGAGCAACGTGGCCAAACTATAAACATTGGTTTGTACATATACTCTTCTGCGCTTTCTAATTTCACGGAAACATATCCACTAACAGAACATTAGGCCGTTGGACTACCTACAGATTTGAAGTAGGGACTAAGGAGGCCGGGTCTGATGGTTTCAACGAGATGATTTCCGCGTTAAAGGATTTTAACATCAAGCTAGATGTCCAAAAGGACTTCAAGACGCTATCCGAGAAATTTGATCCTATTTGGGATTACATACGCATCAAGCGTATTCAGTCCTCGGTTTCTTTTCTGGACCAGCTCCACCAGGCTTCATCCCCTCTCCTTTCCTACCCGGTTCGCTACCAGCTTGAGGTTTGTATTTCGCATAATTGCCTAAGCGAGTACAACATCACTTGTGAATTCATTGACCGTCTAGCAGCGCTTCCTAAAGAAGCGGCTATACCGCTGCTGGAACACATCGCGGAGAGAAGAATCCGTCATTATGACCCAATGGATATCTTTACCATTCAAGGGGTTACCAAGGGCACAATTAACTTAAAGCTTCCTGATCATTGTCAACTCCTTAGAAAAGCCAATGTAACCCCATCGACTGTTTATTTTACTACACCTACCGTTGAAATTACCAATCGGGTGGTAAGACAATATTCTGAGCACATAGACAGGTTCCTGAGAGTCCAGTTCGTCGACGAAAAATCTCAGGTATATACCTAGCTACACCTTATATCTACAATTGAGACACTGACCTTCTCAGGGCCGCATAAATTCTACCGACAAAAAGACCATGCATGAGGTCTTTACCCGTGTTAAGGCTGCCTTGGACCATGGCATAACTATTGGCGATCGAAAGTTTGAATTTCTAGCTTTTGGCAATTCGCAAATACGTGAACACGGTGCATATTTCTTTGCCTCAGATGATCACCTTTCTGCGGCAGATATTAGAGCATGGATGGGAAGCTTCAGTGAGATTAGGATAGTTGCGAAACATGCTGCAAGACTCGGCCAGTGCTTCTGTAAGTATACTACATCCCTCAACAATGGCCCTACTAACTTAATTCCCCAACGATAGCTACCACCCGTGCGATCAATGGAGTACGAGTTGATGTTCGCACTACTGAAGACATTGTGAATGCGGAAGGGTACAACTTCTCTGATGGAGTTGGAAAGATTTCTGAATTTTTGGCGCGTTTGATCACTACTGAGCTTCGTCTCAGGTTGGTCGACAAGGAGCCTGTACCCTCATGTTTTCAGTTTCGTCTTGGAGGCCGCAAGGGCGTCTTGGCAGTTAGCCCGGACGCCAACCATCGCGAAGTCTACATCCGGCCTAGTCAGCTCAAATTCGAGGCCAGACATAACATTCTAGAGGTTATACGCTGGTCCAAGTTTGCGACTGCCGCCCTCAATCGACAATTGATCATCGTACTAACCAGTCTGGGTGCTCCTGACCACTATTTCGAAGACAAGCTTCAATTTATGCTGAAATCCTATGAGGTAGCGATGGTTGATCCGGGGGTTGCGGTTAGGCTACTCTGCAGAAACGTCGACCCCAACGAATCCACATTGGCCATTGCGGCTATGATCCGTGCAGGATTCATGGATCGACGGGAACCATTTGTCATGTCTCTGTTGAAGCTTTGGCGAGCATGGACCATCAAATACCTAAAGGAGAAGGCGAAAATAATGATAGAGGAGGGTGCGTTTGTGCTCGGGGTAGTCGATGAGACTGGGACCCTTGACGGCTACTATTATTCCCAAGATGAAGGCTCCACGGAGGACGCAGACAACCCGGAGACCTCACTCCCTCAAATCTTTCTACAGGTCACCGACCCAGACCGGCCTGGGGAATCCCGGATAATTGAGGGGCCATGTGTGATTGCACGAAACCCTTCTCTTCACCCTGGTGATGTCCGCAAGGTCATGGCTGTCAACGCCAAAGAGCTACACCATTTGCGTAATGTCGTCGTGTTTTCACAGAAGGGGGATCGAGATTTGCCCAATATGCTCTCTGGAGGTGACCTGGACGGGGACGATTACATTATAATATGGGACAAAAAACTCACCTCATGTGTAAACAACTACGAGCCAATGAACTATTCAGCGCAGACACCGAGAGAACTGGCGCGTGATGTTGAGATTGGCGATATTACCAAATTTTTTGTCAACTATATGAAGAATGACAAACTAGGTACTATAGCTAATGCTCATCTTGCATGGGCGGATAAGCGGGATGAAGGAGTGAAGTCTGACGAATGTAAATTAGCTCACCCGCCCCTACTCTTTCATAGTATGCTAAAATCGATAGGCTTTCGACTCGCAATCCTCCACTCTCATGCGGTCGACTATGTGAAGTCGGGGGAGCCAGCTATCATGCCCCCCGAACTCCGCCGAAAGACATTCCCTCACTTCATGGAGAAGAAACCTGAGGAAACCTATCGTTCTGACAAGATCCTGGGGGTCTTGTACGACTCCGTGTCGAAAATCGATTTCGTTCCTGCCTTGGAACTGGAATTTGATGATCGCATTCTCAATGCATATACTCTTAACGAGGAAATACTTGAGGTTGCACGCGCAATCAAGATTCGATACGATGCGGCAATGCGCCGCATAATGGCCCAACACGATATCCATACCGAGTTCGAGGTCATATCTATATTTATCATGCATCATTCGATGGCAACCAAGGATTACAAATTCCACGAAGACATTGCTAGCGTTTGCAATGGTTTGAAGGATACCTTCAAGAAGATCATATACGAAGTTGTCGCCAGCAAAGATGATATCATTATGGGCCCCTTTATCGCAGCCATGTATTTTGTGACGCACCAGGAAATGGCGAAGGCGAAGAAGAAATTTTTTGCCGCAAAAGCCAAGAAAGCGGCAATGAGGGCAGCCAAGAGGGCCAGCGGGAATGAGAAGGCACAAAGGGAAGGAAACATCCCCTCATGTACGAAGGATTTGGAAGAACTGGCAGAATTCACCATTGAGGAAGCCAGAAATATGCCACTAATTTCATTCCCCTGGCTCTTTGGCAGAACTTTGGGTGGGATTGCGAACCGAGAGTATCCGTTCGCGAAACTAGACGGCAGCCCGGTAAACTTCAAACAGGCCGCCGCTGTCACTGACGAACTCGAAGGTCGCATGGGCAAAAAGGAGAAGTATGCCACCTACCATCATGGCATCTACGACGATGCAGTCGCTGCCACCACCCCAATAATCCGGGGGAACGAAACCGACACACCCGACAACCTTTGGAACGGAGAGAGCAGTTTGGGGATCTCCCAACGCGGAACCAATCCTGAGGATGTCACTACCACCACCACCGACAAGATCATCCCCACCTCCCCCGATAGCAACACCGGATACGACGGCGGAGAAGCTAACCTCATCTAGAAGTCAAAACTGGTAGAGGTGAGGTAGGAAGCTGCACATTCGTTCACTTGCGAACTCTTTCAAAAAAAAAAAAAAAAAACTACTCTCTTTTCTGCAAGCAACCAAAATTGCTTTCATGTTACGATTTCCGAGGGATACCAATTTGTTGTTTTGTTTTGTTTCTCCCTTCTCTTACCCTCTCCCCTTTTCTTATCTTTCTTGCGCTTATGGAGGAGGATCCGGGCCCGGGCTCCGGAATTGGGCGGGATGGAAATGAGTGCCACTTGTTAATGTGACAAGACATGAGATTACGAGATACGATAGCTTTTTCCCCTCTTCTTTCCTTTCCTCTCTTACGTAGTGAGTGCAAGCGCAAACAATCCGTTCTAGGATTATTATTATTCTTTCACAAGACGATACTGGATTCTGTATTTGGTACTTGTAGGCACGATATCTTAAGTGAATATAGTAGCGGTACTTGGGATATGGCACCGTGCTGATATTGTGCAACACGCCTCACAGGTCTTCTATGTGGAATCTACACATGCCCCATGAGCACTCTAGTACGATACATGCCCTCCTATTATAAGGCGCTCAATACGGATGATTAGGTAAATGGCAACGTTCAACCCCAGGGATCCAAGAGTTACATACCGGTAATCAAGCATTCACAGTATGAAGTTATCAGATTATCTTTACAGAAACAACACCTCATATCACACCTCCCCCCACCCCAGTTTCTTTACTGCCAGGAAATGAAAGTGCCAAAGGGAGCCCCCAAACAGTCAAAGCGTGAAAAGGGTCTTTCTTCGAAAACAAAATCGAGGATGGGGAAAGAGAAAAATCACAAGGACCGCCAGATCACCAGTTGATTCAAAGGGAAATTATTAACATGAGTGGGGACTAGTGCGGTACCAGCAACCGCTTCCATCCATACTTTTTTTTTTTTATCCGACAAATCAATGAAACATGATTCTACGCCTGCCAGTCAGATCAGATGCCTAACCATGGACCTTGTTGAAATACTCCTTCGATTCCTTAGGATTGGCCTTGATAGTTTCGCCTCCCTGGTTCCAATTGGCAGGGCAGACCTCACCATACTGTGCGTGTGCTATGTCAGTCTCCATATACTAGGTTGGTGGTAGAAGTGCTTCATAATACCTTTTCAGTGAACTTGAAAGCATCGACAAGGCGAAGGGTTTCGTCAACAGACCTTCCGACAGGAAGATCGTTGATAGTGATCTAAAAATTACCCATATTAGTCACCATACAGAATATCTGAACAAGTCATATGTGCTTACTTGTCTAATCGTTCCCTTGGGATCGATAATGAACAAACCCCTGAGGGCAACTCCTTCCTCTTCGATCAAAACTCCATAATCCCCAGCAAGCTTATGGTTCTTGTCACTGAACAAGGGAATGTTGATATTTCCGAGACCTCCGTCTTTACGCTCAGTACTGGACCAAGCTAGCAAGCTGCAACGTCGTCAGCTGCCATCCTAACCGTCCAATCAGTAACAAGCGCGACTACACCCACCTATACTCAGAATCCACAGAAGCGAAGACAATTGAGGCACCACGCTCCTCGAAGGATTTGGCAGCATCAGAAAAAGCAATGATCTGTAAAATGATGTTTAGCTTCGGCTTTCAACCGACCCACAGGTGTAGAAGGGTCGACTGACTTCAGTCGGGCTGAAGATGGCAAAGCAAAAGTTAGTGGCAGATCCCACTGAACAATGTTCAAACTTCACGAAGGAGGCCACATACCAAACAAAAGTCCAGGCCATGGGGATAAAGCCAAGAATGAGCCACTTTCCCTCATAATCCTTAAGTGAAATTTCTATCAAAGGCAAGTTAGCATCCCTAAGCCCCGTATCACCCAAAAGGAGTCACCTTCTTAGGAAAGTTGGTTCAAGCTCTCAAGAAGGTGTCACCTCTCAAAAGGGGCAAAATACTTGACAAACCTACCTTCGAAGCCACCTTCAACGACGGCAGTTCCCTTGAAAGGAGGAGCAGGGTGTTGGACACGAGCGACCATTGTGACAGATTTCGTTGTTAAAGTTTGTGGCTGTGAGGATGTTTGAAGGGTGTAGAGCTGTTGGAGCTTGGTAAGGGGGAGGAAGATGGGGAGGTTGGAAGCAGATGTAGGAAAGCAAAGGTAGAAGGGGAGAGAGGGAAGAGGAGTTTGGACGCGTGGGCCGACCTTAACTTATATAAATTACACGAGAAAGGAGCAGTGCGTAGTCACCTCCCCAGCTAATTAATAGAATTTTTCCTTTTCCTCTCTTCCTGGTGTGCGCGTCGCAGCGGCAGCACACTTGCGACTCTTTACAATTATGCAGGTTACAGAATCCCAGACAACCAGGTACCCGTACCGGTATGGTTATGATAACAAGAGCAGGCAAAAAAGTTACAAGTACTCGTACAAAAGAAGCAAGGAAAAAGAAAAGAAAAGAAAAGAAAAGAAAAAGAAATCGTTGTACGAGAACTTGCATTCAAACCCTGGCTAGGAATAATATAGAAAACCGGGGAAAAAGAAGAGTGTGTGGATAGGCACTGCACAGGTAGGAAATGTTGTCTGGAGCAGTATTACTAAGAAATTCTAGGCTCTCAATTCCCCTGAGATCTGGTCAGCATGAAGATCAGAACTTGAAGTCGACAGCGCGTCGAATCTACCTACCGCAAGGGAATTAGCGAGGAAATTAGTTTACTACCAATATGATATGGCATTGGTGGAAGACGGATGGCGATGGACCGTTGGCATTCTTCACAGCTGGCAGGAGCAAACAGGGAAAGAAGAAGAACCTCACACCCAAATACACAAGCTCGTCTTCTTCTTCTCGCAGTCATGGCTCACCCCATCACCGTCAAATCCACAAGGGAGGAGTCATCCTGACACTTGTATCTGAGCAAAAATACCGATAGTCCACACTGTACAAGTACCATACCGTACTGTGCAATCACTTTAGTACTTGTATTAAAGTGAAATCAGGTTGTAACAACTTTGAATATGATACTAGTAAGCCAAGGATGAAACCGGGGATGGAGGTCTTTTAAAACACAATATATTATTATTATATTATTATTATTATTATTATTATTATTATTATTATTATAATATTATACTGTACCTGTACTCGTACTGTACAAGCACAAGTGTATATTATAGTCTATATATATATACGATGTATATAAATGTCAGTCTTCTCGGCCAACTCTCCTTTCAAAAAATGAAAAAGCAATTCCACAAGCAACCGGTATTATACTTGCGTAACGGGGCTGAAGTTGGACAGTTACAGTCATGTGGAAATTCCCCATACAGAGCGTCCAACTTCAACCCGGCTGCTCAGATACAGTAAGCCATGGTCTCCACCACTCCACCACCATTGAGTTTAACACATATGCCTACCGCAGTCAACTTTAGAATATCACGTTTCTCCAATCATTCACACCTGAGTCTTGATCATGGCGAGAGCACCGGTACCAGTATCCAGGTGCGAAGGGGCAAAGGCATTACATTACGTTGGACACCGTATCCCAGCTTGCAAGCACTACTTCCTAAACATAATCCCCCCTTGTCCCCCCGCCTCCCCCCCTGCTTTCCGCACAGATACATACTGCACCTACCTGTACGAGTACTGGTACGAGTACTGGTGGTGGTGCAAATGCCGGGACCTCAACAGGTCAACACTCGTGAGTCGTGATTACTTGCAGGGGATCCCTCACCAGTGTGATACGGTACTCGAGCACCGGCGCGGGCGAAAGCAGTTTTCCGGGCTCAATGTTACTCGTACCGCGAGGATACACAAGCCCGATGCTGTCCTCTTGTCACGATGCAAACTTCATGGGCGCAACTGTTGAGCCCCCCTCCCCCAATCATTTTTCCACACATAACATTCGTCTGGAAATGTCTTTACCTCTTTTGTCCAGTGAAGCCAATCTGATGCTCTACTATTACAGTATCGTCATGCTCATCCATAGCGGTCTTATAATTTCCCTTACGGCTGTTTGCGTTTAAAGAAATACACCACACCAGCAACGGTCGCCGTACTTTATTGGCACCCGGACGAGTTCCCGTTCCGATAGATAAATTGGTTCGGGTCAGGGTGGCGATTCTCTAGGCTCAGGAGTTGGCGGTGTTGCCCACAGGTTTCCAACAAGCAGAGTTCTGGGTGGCCGTACGAGTACCGTAACGTACCGTACTTTACGAGTTGCGAGCAAATGGTCCGTGTCCTTCTGAGCTGTCGTCGTTCGTTCGAGATGACCAGATGTCTTTCAGATGATCCATGTGGCCAATCAACTTGGGGCCGGATTTGAGCACTTTGGATCCCTCGGAAGGGTGCGCGTGCGCCGAAAACTCGCCCACTAGGGAACCTTCCGATGAACGAGCAGGGGTACAGTACGGTTGTTTCTTGTACGATAAGTTCTCGCTCTGTTGGACTACGGTGCCGGTAACTGGTCACAGCACTGAAACCCAACCCAAAGATGCTGACAACGCAAATTTATAGATAATAATTCCCTAAAATAGTAGGTGGTAGAAAGTGGTGAAATTTCTGTATTGTCCAACCTTGGAAAATCCTTACCAGGGTGGCAAGTCAAAAGAAAATTAGAAATACTGTAGTTGACATGAAAAATTAAAATGAATTCAGGTAATTATCACAATGTCATACACCTATTTTTTTATTTTTATTTTCTAATTTCTGTCAGCTATGCAGATTACCGTATACCGTATTCAATAGGTTTATGGAGTGGGGGGGGCTCAAAATCAAGGAGGTATGATAGCCCATGGTTTTGTTGCCCCTCTCCCATGGACCGTATATACAAGGACTTATTAGACAGGACTGCACAACTTTCCCTGAGCACACCATTTCATCTCCACCCATTTGATATCGATTTCGAAAAGCTCATCAGTGCTGGCATTCCCCCAAGATATCCTCTCTCCCCTTCGAATGAAATTCCCCCCCCCCCGGCCCACTTTACTTTCTTCTGGTTTTGAACTTTACATCTCCCAGTTAGGGAACCAACCTGAACCACCCTAGCGTGGCATCAAGAGGGATTTTTTTTTTTTTTTTTTTAAAAAATGACAAACCAACAACCTTTTCGAAAATCGATAATATAATGGGGCAGAACATGCAATTGAAGCTTCCAATGTAGATCACTGAGCTAAGAATCGCAAGTATCATACCTCCTCCTATATGTGATATACATCATACACCCCTGGAGGGCATAACCACCAGCTCTAAGATAATTAAGCCCATTAAAGGTACAGTATCATATTTGTACTCGTAGAGGGGATACCGAGATCATAACCAGGAAGTGAAAATCGTACGAGCGTGATATCGCCTCGAACGATGATTAGTGATGGCTTCAAGTTGGTAATCCTTCTTTTTTCTGGACGGCGTCCTTGCCAAAACGCTCTGAAGAATGATGTCTAGTCATGAAGGATGTGTCACGCGTTTCGTCGTGGTATGATAGCGCAGACTTGAATATTCTAATTGTAGGGTGCGCTATCGTTGAACCTTTTTCTTCCTCCCCCAGGAAGGTCTCGCCGCTTTTTTCTTTTCTTTTTCTTTCCGTTTCTCGGAAGGGGGAATGAAAGGGACTGTGCCCACTTTCCGGAGGAGGGAATTTTTGACTGCACAGCACACGGTTCGATGGTTCAAGTTTTCATAGCAGTGGCGCGATAAAGGGTAACCTTTAGAGTTAGAGTGGAAGCTCTTCATTGCACAAACGGGTGCTCGTCTATGACTGACGCGCCGTGATCCAGCACTGTGTGGTGATAACGATGCACGATGACACCGGAAAAAAAACTGTTTCGACAGCGGATGCGGTGGGATATTGGTACTACTGCGACCTCTCCGAAGGGGAGGAATCCCACCACTCTTTGCACTGAACCGCGCATCCGGGAGAAAGTGGACTGTGGCATAGTGGAGGTTATTGACTATCAATACTGTACTCGAGCACTCGAGTATGATACCTTTCGGCACCGGTCCCCGGACAGCATGTGCGCTGCTTGAAAATGCGCAAATGGTTCACCCCAGAGCATATCTACCTGCTCGAGAAATATCCTCTCGGGTACCACCAGTACCGCTCCACAGGTCATCAAAGGGGGAAGGGGGTCGGTATTCTAAATCTTTTATATTGATTTTTTTCCTCCGTGTACCGTACTCCGACCCCACCCGACCGATATTCCGAACTTTACACGGCTCCGGCGTTTGGCTAGAGGGTCCCGTGGGTGACCTTGGCCTTCCCGCAGTGCAATGCCGGTACAGCAGGGACTGGAGTGATTGGACCTCGCTCTGGGAGGTCCAGAATTCCCCTACTTGGAAAGGAGAACAGGCTTGAAACAACAAAGCTTCCTCGAGTATGATATCATACCAGGATAGGCAACTCCAACGTCCTGGCGTGAGGTCCAATTCCAGTTCTTCGGTATCGCAGTGTCCCGGCATGTGCTTACATTAGCTGACAGGCGCGCTCTTATCGCGCATCCAAGCACTCCGATCTTAAACCAGCAACCGTGGGGAGATTACGGAGATAATAAACCAAACCCCCTCTATTCCCACTCAATACTGCCACAGCCCTTGACATCGCCACATCCCGTACCGTGATAGATCCGAACTGCGAACATTGATTTGAGCTGGGGTTGGATACTATTGAGAATCAAACTTCTACCCCACATTCTTGCACCACCATCCCATCTTCTTCCCTTCCTTTCCTCTCAGCACTACACCAATTTTGCCTACATTTCCGACGAAGACGAGGGTGAAAACGACATGGACCACCAACCGCCAAACTCGCACTCCGAGGGCGAAGAAGGTAGCTTCCTTCTCTGGAGTTGATCGGTCATTACCGACCAATCTCGTAGCTGACGAATTCTTTGTATTTCCATCTAGATGAATCGGAGCTGGAGCAAAATATAGGCGAAGGACAAGAAGGTCTTATCGGTGGGACTGCACATGAACAACATGCCCGCCAACTAGCCTACATACTATCTGGCAATTCCCCAATGCGCATCGGACAACTAATATTCGCTTCTGGTACTGGTAGGAGCTTCCCTGGATGTCAACAGCGCAGAGTGAGTTTGAGGAGTGGGGAAGATATTGATCCTGTGCCGAACCCAGAGGGCCAGGAGTTGATGAGGTCTGGGGAATTCGGGTCGGTGCGTTTCTCGACTGGTGCAGTTTGATTGGTTGAATGGCTAGAACTTATGATTTCTAGGATGACTTTACGAAAAGCCGGAGCTGGGAAAGTGGAGGAGACTCGACGGGGGTGAGAAGGAAATCAATTCCAAACACAAGCATTAGCAAACTTCTACTACAAAGGGAGCTTGGATGCTATACTAGTGGTCGTGAGAGGAGGCTGAATCAATTGGTGGCACAAGTAAGTTTGACAATCCTCCCATCTACTAAGCTTCTTGTGTGGTTGCTGATGTATCAAAAGCTAATGGTGCCATCCACCGATGCTGATTTCATAGTGCACTATGACACTCGCTCCTACTCTGGCCAATTTTCTGAGGATGGAAACTTTTTCTATAGTTGTTCTCAAGACTTTCGAGTGCGCATGTATGATACATCGAACCCTTACCAGTGGAAATATTACAAGACTGTAGACTACATTGGCGGGAGATGGACGATTACAGATGCTACGCTTTCCCCAGATAACCGCCACCTAGCATACAGCAGTATCACAACTCGAGTATGCTTGGCTAGCACTGCCCCGGAGGACGACGAGATGCACCCGCTTGAATTCAGTAATGGAAGGAACCACAATCGGAATGCTATGGATCCTCGTTGTGGGGTTTGCCTTTCCACCAGAATTTTTCGGATTTTGGTTGTTGCTAATGTGTGGTACAGATATGGTCTATCAGATTTTGCGGGGATGGTCGTGAGCTCGTTGCCGGTGCGAACGATGGTTGTCTCTATGTATACGATATTGAGACACGAACACCGGTTCTTAGGCTTGGGGGCCACGAGAAAGACGTTAACGCTGTCTGCTATGGCGATAGGGCCTCCCCTCACATTATCTATTCTGGATCTGATGATGCCACGATCAAGGTTTGGGATCGAAGAAGTATGGCGGATGGGAGGGAAGTGGGAGTCTTTGTCGGGCATACGGAAGGCTTGACATATGTTGACAGCAAAGGAGATGGGAGATATGTACTTTCAAACGGCAAGGATCAGACGATGAAGTTGTGGGATATAAGGTGAGTTATTTTTACACACAAGGTTACTCGACTGATGCCTTGAGCTGACGATTGTAGAAAAATGATGGATAAAGGGAAATTCGACTCTATGGCTCACAGAAATTACGGTATCGGTTTTGATTATCGTAGGGACCGGTGCGTTCACGTCGATCCTCAAACCAATAGAACGTAATTGCTAACCCAAACATAGATATACCGAGCCGCCCACCAAGCATCCTCGCGACTGCAGTCTCGTCACCTACAGAGGACACAGCGTGCTCAAGACACTTGTCCGCTGCCATTTCTCCCCGCCAACGTCAACCGGATCCCGATACGTCTACACTGGCTCTGCCGACGGCAAAGTCAAAATCTACAACATTGATGCAACGGAAGTCGCAACAATCGATGTCCACGCTGCGACTATCGGATCCCGGCCAATGGTCCCAGACCTCATGGATAACTCATACCACCATTGGGGCGGTGGCACAACAGCTTGGAGGACTTGTGTAAGGGATGTCAGTTGGCATCCGAGTGCCCCGGCTCTTGCTAGTAAGTTATACTCTATAACGCCAACTAGGTTCTTGTTAGGCTAACGTTTCCCAATAGCCACAAGCTGGAACGGCTTTGGCCTCTCAACTGGCACCGTCACTCTCCATAGTTGGAACAGCGCCGGCGGGAAGCCAAAAAGCTACAATGCAAAGCTCCAAGCAGACTTCTTAGAGAACGACATGGGAGAGTATAGCGAGGATGGAGAGTATGCTGAGACGGAAAGCGGGGAAAGTGAGGGTTACTAGTTTTTGTCTTAACTGAAATGCTCACTATTCGGAGGGGTTTTACGCCATAGTTCTTCTACCCCCCCACGTGTCCCTCTGTTAGGGTTTTATTTTATCTTTTATCTTTTATACATGTTTCACTGGGATCGGGCCCTTTCTTCCTTTCTTTTTTACAGGAATTCTTGCTAAATTCTTGACACTTGGGTTGGGATTGTACGATGTCGTGGAAGAGTTTCCAAAATAGCGAGTGAATAGTGATGTTCCGATTGTGTAGATATCGTAGAATCTATCCACCGTGAGAGCAGCACCTCGGATGCCCGCTCGCGCCGATACACCCCACTCCGGGGCCAGAAATTCTTACCATATTATAATACAACGCACTCTGCCCCACCCACCCCAAGAATTCCAAACTCTCACAAACCGAGTGATTACCAATGTCACCAACAGGAGCAGGCAAGCACTCACAGTGCCACGCGCCCAAAATCAGTCAGCACGAAGACACCAAGCAGCCGCACCGCAAACTTAAACCCAGAACGATGATATAACAATAATAATAGTAAAACACAGTAGTAGGGCACCTGCCTAAATTACCTATTACCTTTTTCGGAACTCATTCCTATCTAACCTGATCACCCTTTCTCGGTCAGTTTGTTGTTGTTGGCTTGACTTTGGCTTGGCTGGTGAAAATTTTTGTTTTGGGCGATAAATTGACCGTAATAAGTTGGTGACTTGTGCGTTCTCCGAATTGTTGTGAATGCTATTTGCGGACTCATGAGGGGGGGGGTCGTGGTTTTCCCGGTTCGGGGAGGCTGTATCATACGTATGATGTGGAATGATTGTTTCCGGCGTGGTACGGATTGCTGTTCGCGGGAGGGCACGCAAAGAGCCGCAACAAATACTCGAGTATGATACTACTGTGTACATTGAATGGGGATCCAAGTTTCTTTCCGCTCTTCAGCTTAGGACCCGCTACGAGTGATGACTTGTGAAGTGCTACATGCAGCGGTAAAGATGCAAGCAACCGATCGACGCGAGTTTATACCTGCGGAATTTATTGCAGATATATATCTGCTATTTTTTATTTTCTTCTTCTTTCTTTCTTCTAGATACTCCGGATACGTGTCACAAGCATGATTAACATTACACCTGCTTACTCCCTTCCTATATTATAATAGTTGATTTTTTTTTTCCAGCGGTATAACGCAACACCCCTGACCCATACCCACCCACCCGTGGTCTATCATACCCAACCTCGCCTACCCAAGAAAACCCTCCCCCGCCGAGGGCCAATATAGAGGAAGAAAAGTTCATATAATACACCCCCCCACCCCCCTTTCTCTAACCTACGGTGACCTGGGTCCACTAGCCTCCCTCCAAGACTTTAGCGGCAACGCGCTCAACCTCGTGGCCGCGGGCTTAATGTACCCCCAGAATGTGACCACGCCAATGATGATGCAGATCACATTGGTGATGTAGTACCCGTCTTGCTCTATGTTGCACACGCCGCCTTGTGTCTTGCATAGTTTCTTGTCACCTTCGAGGGCGCAGGAGAAGGGTTCGAAGGGGGTTTTGGCATCGGGCAGCGGTGTGCAGGTCGCGATTGTGAAGGCGTCAACCAGTTTTAGGACGAAGATCCTGGGGAAGGTGCCGCCGAGATTGCTTACGCTATTGGAGGAGTTGGTCAGTATTGTTGGAGGGGGAGAGGAGGGGGAGGGGAGTAGTTACGTTGCGAGTAAGGTCATATAAGTCCCTCCGATCCCCGGATCGGCAATCTTAGCGTGGAAGGCGGATACAGCGACGAACATTACTGTGCTAGTGAAAGTTGAAAAGATATGCTCTGCGATCACAACCATGAGGTAGCCGGACTCGACGACACCGTCGCTTGGGAATATCCAGACGGTGATGTGCGCTAGCACTGCGGCTAGCAGGCGGCCGATGAAGGCCCACATCCAGAGAGTCATTGGCGGGAAGTACGCGCACCACTTTCCGGCGTAGTAGCCTAGGCCGATTTCGAAGGGGAAATCGATCAGGACTGTTAGGGCCATGTCTTCTTGTGTGAAACCTTTCTCGAGGAGTTTGAGATTTGTTACGGCGTCGTTTGCTTGGAAGCCGATTTTGGCGATCAGGTGGATTATTATGAAGGTTTGGACGTCTGTATTTGCTCGTCAGCATTGGTCTTAAATGGTGCAAGGGGTGTTGGGGTGTGGGGAGCGTACGTTTGAGCTTGATAACCCTCCACATGGTCTTGTAGACGCTAACTAGCCCATCACGATTGCTGGTCCTTTCCTCCTTCTTGAAGACGGCTAGCCCGAGGGTCACGATGAGATATGCCCACCCCCAGAATGTGAGGTATCCACCCAGGGTGAAGAGCCCAACATCGGATGGTGTTGTTCTGAAATACCGATTTGCAAAGTCTGGAGAGTTGAACGCCAAGAATACAGTGAAGGAAAGAAAGTTTCCAGCGGTAAGACCGACTGTCTGGGCAGTCGAAGCATACGAGAGGTTTTCCACGGAAAGTAAAGTCAAAGCCCAACCTGCACGATGCTTGTCTTAGCGCATGGGCCTCTCTTCAATCTGGGGAAAACTCACCATCTACCGCAACGTCCTGCGTCGCGCAAAGCATAACCAGTGAGAAAAAGACAAATGTGAAAGTGTACAGTTTGCCACTGGCCTCAGCCATAAGTCTATCCGCATTTGCTCCTAACCATAACAACATTATCGCACTGAGGGCTTGTATAGGCACGATCCAACTCTTCCGCCTTCCCATCCTCTTGCTCCATATCGCGTCGACTATAGGTGACCAGAGTAGTTTCATGGAGTAAGGGTAGGAAGCTAAACTAAACACTCCGATCTCACCGTACGAGAGCCTACTCTTCAGCAGGAAAGGTACTGAGCCCATCGCTAAACCCATGGGGACGCCCTGTAGAAAGTAGAGTAGAACTAGCAAAGCAAAGTTCTTCTGATCTTGCGGTGATAGATCCTTCAGCGATGCGGAGGCCTGCTTGTCGTGGTCATCGTCGAGCGAGAAGGACTCCCGCTGTAATAGCGCTTCCGTCTGCATGGAGGACGGTAGCAGATCGTGACCATCCACCGAAGCGTTCTTTCGTCGGTACTCAACGGATGAGGATGAGTTCATGTTTGCCGAGGACGAGCGGTCGTTGTCGTGATGGCGGTCTTTACGACTGCGAGCCATTGGTGAGGAAGGAGTGGCCGGGTCGTCCGAGTTGCAATGTGTTTTTAGGTCGTCTACGTATATGTTTTCGAGCTCAAAATCGTCGGGATGTTCGGCGGAGGAACTGGACCGGTGAGCTCGGACTGTAGATGAGGACGAGGGGGTGAGGGGGAGGAGGGGATCGCGGGACTCTGAGAGAGGTGCTGGAGACATGCACCACACACTAGCTTGGGGGGGGGGGTTTGGGTTACTGTAAGTGGGGGCACCAAACAACCATGGGCCAAGAACAGAAGGGGAAATAGAACAGATGTCCTTCTGGTTCGCGGCGGGAGGAGTGGCGACCACCAGGGAAAGGAATATGGACCAGTAAGGGCCCTAGGATAGCTCCAAGCTCTCAAGTCTCCACAGTTTTAGTTTTTTCCCTTCTCCCCTTTATTTCTGGAAGCTGTCACTTGTCGAGGCTATTCGGAAAGACACAGGGGGCAGGGGGAAGAGTGTCATAAAAGTTCCAAAGTAATGGGATAATGGAATGACAAAAAGGAGTATAATACCGGTAGTAGGTTTGAGAAAGGATCTGATGATAGCATTCAAGCTTGTTTCTGCATCAGCCAGTTCCTCTGGCTTTGTTCAAAAGGGTATCTGGCTCTTCCACTCCTGCTCTCTCTCTCTCTCACGTCTGTTTATTAGACTATAGCGGTGTCGCAAGCACTTGAAGTGCATCAGAATTGAGCCAAGCCTATGGTAATTTCTCCGGAGCAAGGAACCCGGAATCCCCCTGAGATTCCATCGTTTGGGACGCCAAGAATATGCGGCCACGGGAGCTGAAGTGTTGAAGAAACTTTCTCCGTCGCCGCCTTGAGTGAAGCTACGATTGCCGGTGTCTCGACGAATGTAACTCTGGGGCACATACCAGCTATCGTATTTATGTATCAACTCGTAAAAGCATCAAAGGATCTTTGAGGATAGTAAGACTTGTATCTCTCACCGATTGCGTTCCCGCAACGAGGGTTGTGATGCCATGCCATATTCTACCGTCGCGGGGCGTATCTCACCAGCGGGACTGATACAGCTAAAGGTGAATATTCACACCCTCTGCACCGTACGGTACGAGTATGATACTCGTACCTGTACTGTCCTGTACCGGCACCTCATACACAGACTTCGGACGGCAAGAAAGGAATATCAGGGCGTGGAATGTCCAAGAACCCCCCCCGCTGACCAAGCTTTTTGGGTGAACACTATACCGGCACTTGTGTTCTTTGAAAGCACAAATTCGCCTATGGACTTGCTCCTTACTCTCGATTTTCAATCCATTTAGACCAGCTACCCCACACAGCTCCGATATTGCCATGATGATACTCAGATGTTGGTATCTAACCACTTTTGCCAAGCTGCGCTATTGTAGCGGTACGGTACTGTACTAGTACGGTACCAATACTCGTACTGTACTCGTGATGGTACATCCACAAAAAGGAAATACATATGATACGATACCTCCTCGAGTACCGGTACGTAAACAAACAATCACCTTCCGGACCAGCTCCCACTCTCGCCATCGGTACCTACCATACCGGTAACTGTACCGGTACTTCATAGACTCTCCCCCCCTCCCCAAACACTACACACCATCAAACACTGCACATCAAACACTGCGCATCAAACACTGCACACCACACGCTTCACATCACACACTACACATCACATCCCTCAAACATTATCATCAAACAAGACGGAAAGAGAGAAAAAAAACCATGCCATCTCAATCGAATGAGCTCTCCTCAGTAGAGGACTTCGATCTCCTCTCAATCGAAGCTCGGCTCACCGAACTCGAACGTCATAAGAGCCTTCTGACAGCAGAGCTCCTCTCATACCGCTCGACGCTGCCGATATCAACCATACTATCGCAAGCAAAAGTCAGACCGAGCTATGAAGACCCCACATCAGTCACGTCGACCGTAGGCCCCGGAACCGAGACCAGCAGCAATGCTAGTGGAGCCTCGGATGGGAAGTCAGAAGCCAACGATGAGGACATCCTCTCCGACGTGATTGCACACGCGAAGTGTTCACAAAAAGAGCGGTTAAAGAAATTATACCGCATGACGGGCATTACGACGTTCACTTCCGAAGACCCGTCTCCGCCGCACAATGTTAACGTCGGGATTCGGTTTGAGATTTTTGGAAATCGTAAACACCCCCCCTTCCTTCCCTCCTTCCCCCTCTGCCCCCCCTCTCTAGCCACATTGTGAGCAAAGCTAACTTTCATAAAAGGAAAATTTACAAGACGTCAATACATCATCCTGTCTCTAGCCTCAAACACCTACACAATCCTCCGACACTCAATTCCTTCGTTCCTGCACGTCCACAGCCTCCGGGCTCAGTACCCACACGACTTAGCGAAGTTTGCTCGTGTGCTCCGTGCCAAGCTTCAACTGTTCGCACGGCGTCTCGATGCGGTAGAGAAACTCGAGCAGACCCTGACGAACATGGGGCGTATCGGGGACGTGCAAGAGCCATGGACCAATCGGATTGAGAGCGTGGAGTGGGATGTTCCCGTGCGCATGATTGTTATCAATTGGTCTATTGGAGTGAGGGGTTCGTTGGTGTTGGATGAGAGGGGGAGCATTGAGGCGGTGGTGGTTAGGGATAATGACGGGGAGAGGATGAAGAAGTTGGAGGCTGTTATCAGAAGTGGAAACTTGGACGGGGTCGCGGTTAGGCTGGGATATGTCATGGATAGGGAGGAGATTTATGAGGAGGACGGGGACTGGGAGGCAGGGGTAGCGACTTCTTGAGTGGGAAGGGGAGCTGGTACGTCACGGGTGGGGAGGATATTTATGAAGAGGGTGGAGACGGGGTGGCAGGAGTGACGACTTCCTGAGAGACATTGGGGTGTGTTGTGGATAGAGGGCGGGGGGACGGAGATGGGGTGACAGGGCTGGCAACTTCTTGAGTGGGAGGACTAGGATTGTTTATTCCATTGTGATTTCTTTATGTTTTAGGGCATCATGTATGATGTACCTCTTGTCACTACTGTATTACTATTCAAATGGATAGATGGGCGTGAGAGCCTGTGTAAACTAGATAAGAGAGAAGATGTACGAAAACAACTCAGGAGTGGTATCAATAATTTTAACCAGTAGAGAAATGTGGGGGAAAGAAACAGCATGAAGAGAATGCACCAGAGGGACGGACGCTCAACCCTTGAGGCTTGTTAGATTTATAATATACAAAATCAATCGCCATCAATCCCATTCAGACCCCCAATGCCACTCCCAAACACCCTACTCCCAATGCCCCTCCCTCTCCTTTGCCTCCCTCATCTCCCTCTCCACCATCCTCTTAACTTCCTCCTTCCTCTCCTTTCTAGCGAGCACACTCGCAAGCCACTCCTCAAACTCCTCCTCAGCTTCCCTCGCCGCTACATCCTCCCCGCCCATCCCCTCGTGCACCCTTCCTCGCAAATCCTCCAGCGAGCACACGTCCAGCGCGAGCATCCCCCCGCCCACCAGCATCATGCCAAAGCTCAGCGTGTTAAGCGTTGCCAGGTTCAAAGCTTCTAGGGCGTCGAGGGCACCGTTCGGAGGGTGGGTGGGTGGGCGGTTGTTCGGGTGGTAGAATTTTGGCACCAGCGAGAGTTTGCGCCGGTGGATTGTGCGGCGGGTTAGTGCTATGCTGAGGGCTAGGAATGTGGTCCCGCCTAGGAGGAGGGTTATCTGGCGGCGGAGGCGGGTTGGTTCGGGGATTGGAGTGGCGGCTGCAGGGGGCTGTACGGTGGGGGATAGTGGTGGTGGTGTGGGGAGTGATGAAGAGGAGGGGGGTGGAGGTACCGAGGAGGAAGAACCGCGGCCGGACCAGGGTATCCAAGAACGGAGATTGAATGCCATCGCTTGTGCTATTTCTTTGTAATTGCTTGTTGTAAGTACGTTTGTAGATATTTTTATCCGTTCGTTTGATCGTTTGTTCGCCCCCCTCACCGCCGTTGCCAGCCGGGTTTTATCGTTCAGAGCTGGACTAAAGGGCGGGAAAAGATAAAAAGAAAAAGACAAAACCGTTGTATCAATATCCAATCTCCATCCCCGCTGCCCATCATCTTGGCACTTTCAACCCCACCAATCTTACCCCCCTCCCCTCCCCAAAAATACCTCCACAAAAATACCACTCCACAACACAACCACAACAGGGGAAGAAGAAAAATGTACCTCGAAACTCCCCTCTCCTCCCGCCCTTCCACCCCCCCTCCTCCTCCCCGCTCTCCCTCCCCACCCAGCGAAAGCCCCGACATAGTCCGCCTCCACCACACCCACCACACACACGGGTACCTCGCAGGCATCACCTACGGAAAAACGTTGCATCTCCAATCCGGCTTCGACGAAGGCTATGCACTGGGCGGCCGATTCGGTTTGAAGATCGGGTGGGTGTTGGGTGCTTTACAGGGTCTCTCGCACATCGCCCCGGCGATGGCGCGGGGGGAGTTTGAGAGGGCGAAGCGGGAGTTGGTCTTTGACGGGGTGTTCACGGAGGAGTATTTCGCGCGGGGAGGTGTTTGGTTGTATGCGATTGCGGAGCAGGGGGAGGAGGGGGAAGGGGAGGTTACATTAGATAGGGTGGTAGAGATGCACCCCCTTGTGAAGAGGTGGGTGTGCAGGGTGGAGGAATTGGCGAGGGGGATTGGTGTTGGTGTTGAAGAGTTGGAGTTGGAGCGGGGAGTGGGCCGGGAGGTGGAGGAAGGGAAGGGAGAGGAGGATGGGAGTGAAGTTGGAGCGGAAGCCGAGGCACAGATCTGAAGGGTGCTGATGATGTGTTGGTTCGGATTATCTTGACGGACACCACTCAGGAATATATCTACTTCATCCTATCACACCATGCCTGCCAACCATGCAGGACACGAACCCAGGACCAGTGATTTTGGTTACTGGTAAGCAATCAACTGCGCACCTCATGTTCCCGCAAAGCTTAAAGTTAATCCGGGCTATCAATCACAGGAAATCACCTATATCAGTCACCACAATTCCACACCATAGCACAGCCATACTCAGTTTGCTCAATCAACTACATCGTATGATAGCCCATCTTCCCTTTTTATATCCCTAGCCCCCCAACCCGTTCCGTACACCAGTAATCCATCCCGCCCCGTCCCATCGGTACCTACAAGTCTATGACGGCAAACATACATAATACAGAAACCAAATGAATAAATAAAAACAGTTCCGGCCACGAGCGGGAGCAACGATAAGGTCCGAATTAGAAAGGATAATGTAGGCAATAGGCTTTTGTTAGAAGATGTAGTTTCTTTGGAAAAGAAGGCTTTGGAAAAGAAGGGAAAGGAAGGGAAAGGAAGGGAAAGGAAAGGAAAAACCTAAGAGATGGAGAAGAAAAAACGCCAATTCAAAATTAAACATAAAACAGGTCCCTAGTGATCTCCTTCAGAAGTGAATGGTTGTATCATTTTTGCCCCCCGCTTTCTAACAGTTAAACAATTGAGTATCGCCACCTTCTCCCTCTCCCTAAAAGTAGAACGCCTCGCACAAGTATATGATACCGAAAACCAAAAACGCGCCAGCCCCACCCAAGGTTACTGCCAGGCGTATTAGCTCTGCCTAATGACATATAAAGGAGATATGGCTCACCATTTCGGACACTAATGCGGCTTGCCAACATTCTACCGCCGACCACTGCGATACCAGTGCAAATGGCATGTCCAGAGATAGCTCCGATAGTAACGTACCAGTAATCTTGTCCGGCAGCCATAGCAATAGTAGCAATCTGGCTGCGATCCCCCCACTCTCCCAAGAAAGTCATTACAAAATGTTTGGACCCAGGGCGGGCGACAGTAGTAACCCGGCAAGGTTTTGAATTCCTTCCAAGGATGTCATTCGCGCTTTCCCAGAGCCACTCTTCCCTCTAGCGCGCTCGTAGTCATCCTCGTCGGAGTCAGACAATGCTGGAGACGACGTAGATCGACGGATCCCAAGTCCACCGCGGGACGGCGATGATACCAGGCCCGATTCGAGACTTCGGGAGATAGATGCCCCTCTTTCCCGCCCAGCTGCCTTCTCCTCGAGCTCTTGTTCAACCTCCTTCATCTCCTCCTGCACGTTGGCGGTGCCCTTTTCCATTCTAAGACCCTCCAATACCATGCGTACCCCAAAGATAAGGAAGAGACCAGCGGCAAGAAAGTTGGTAAACCGTTTCGGAATTAATGTGGGAACGGCATGACCTAAAACTGCCGATAGAATTGACATGACAATCAGAGAGCCGAGAGCCGCTGTAAATACCAGTACTCGGGGGTGTTTCATTGCCATCAGAGCCGCAATCAAAAATGTTTTATCACCAATCTCTGAGAAGATAATCATAATGAAGGACAAAGTGAAGGAATGGAAAGGTTGAGAGATGCCAGATAAATCTGCAGCTTCTAACTCGGCGGGCTTCAGGTGTTTCGGGATCTTAACCGGAGGTCCGCCATACTTAATGGTATCGCCCTGTGATCCTGTGTATTCTTGATGGCCAGTCTTGGGCACCGGTGGCTTGGGAGTTGACGGATCATCCTTGGCGTCCTTGCTCTTGCTCTTTGGGTTTTTGATCTATGCCGGAATCTCCAATCAGCTCACCAATGTTCCAACCTCCACAACCCGGCACGTGAGAATCCTACCGCTGAATCATCGCCCTCTGCCGGTTCCTCGATCTCAACAATCTCGTGCTCACCAGTATGTGGCGGTGGATTCTTGATGTCAACACTAGCTCCACCACCGGAAACTCCAACCTCTCCTGACCCCTTCTCCTTTGATCCTGGGTGCAAGCCCGGACCGTCATGTGGCTTTCCATCAAGACCATCAACAGGCGCATCTGCTGTGCCCTCTGCCTTCGATCTTAATGCCCCAGCTCCTGACTGGGTGTCCGAAATCTTGTATGGTGCCTTAGGATTACGTGGATGGGTAACAACATCTTTCTTAGTTCCTACTGCTGAGGCTCCCTCTGGATACTCTATTGGAACATGACTGTTCGCTGCCGCGATCAAAGGGGGCGCAACCAATAGCAGTAAAAGAGACGTGGACTTCCTGGAGAAGCGCATGACGTTGTGGTGATTAGAATACTAGGTAGTGAAGAACCCGATGCCAAGCAATTTTTAAAGGTTTTACCTGAGAAATAGTAGTTAAAGAGAGATGAAGAATGAAGAATGGAAGAAAAACGTATTTCGCTAGGAAAGTTGAAGTCGAAGTGAGACTTGTGTTGCAGTGAAGGATCAACCAGAAGATAGGGGTCCCTTTTCCGAAGGATTTCCAACAGAATGGATTGGTGTTACCCGGATGCTGCGCGAACCCGTTTTGAAGGGTCAGGGGTTGTTGTCACCTCCACTCTAGAGCTCGGGAATCGATTGAGCATTCGTGATCGGGGCTGCTTTGAGAACTGCCATCAGATCAGACCAGCTATCCTCACAGTAACAATGCCTCGTCTCCGCGAATTATTACAGGTCGGACACATTCAGATCTCAAGCAAGAAGGAGAGGATGATTCAACCAATTAAGTTTAAATCCAAAAGGCTGCCTTACAGGTATACCGGGTATCCATTACGGTATTCTCCATGTCCAGATGACGTTAGATCTTTACATATTGGGGGCATGAGCTATTCTATCGAGTTAGGGGATTTACCCACTCGGAGGTAATTCACCCTACCAAGATTCCTGGCAGTAAATACTAACTGCGTACAAATCATATTTGCTTACTACTAGCCAGCTTGTATATATATCACTACCGGTACAACTGGCGATATGCGATCCGCATCCCATGTTATATGGTTAGTTCACTACCGTAGGCAGGCCAAATAGTTGGTTTGGGTAGGGAGGGCACCTAATAGAACATGAGTGCGTAGTATTACCGCCGGATATAGCATATTAGGCACCCATGTATATCAGTGTCAGAAGTATGGCAACCGTATCACACTAGCCTTCGAGGAATACACTATCAAGAACTCACTTAACGTGTCCACGCAGAACAGGAGACCAACACCCAGTTATTGAGAAATTTGGATCAATTACTGGTATAGGTAAGTATTCCAGACCAGATAACCCCCGCATTTGCACCTTGAGCCACCGTATCTTCTTATATAGCACTTTTTTCTCCACAGTGTGCAACAAATAAACAATGCCGGAAACCAAAAGAAAATTATATCCTAGTTAGCAACAGGTGAATAGGGCACCAAATAACTCAAACACGAACTAGTCAAACATCCACTATACAGATTCATGAATGTCAATCCTCACCTCATCGGCGCTATTCGAAGAACGGAACGTACCCTCGGTAGCCCCGTTAGTAACTAATGCTACTTTTGACCCTGACACGTGTGACCTAGAGCTACTAGCTCCGTGGGCCTTAGCAGCAAGATGTCGGTACATTTTCAACTCCTCCTCGAATTCCTTTAGTGCTCTTAGCTCTGGATGAATGGGTTAGGCAAGGTTTGTTATAAGACGACCAGAGGGAAACTGACCGCTACCCATAAACAAGAATCCAATCAATCCATCTAAACCACCAGTGACTGCGACTGCACACGCAACAAACATTAAGGCAAAAGAAACCCCATTGTGTGGACTCCACCAAACTCCCACGTGGAGCCCTACAAGAGCCACCAGAGATCCCCAAAAATGGTATAGCCTCCAATGATATTCAAAATTCTCCCTTTTTGTGTATTTCGCAACAAGTTCCAGAATTTCGTCTATTATGGTGGGCGGCAGGTATTGCTCGTTTTCTCTCTCCCCCACTTTATTGGTAACTTGAGCTTCTTCGGCCCTGACAGCTCCCGCCACATTTAATAACGTTGAATTCGAAACAAGGTCCGGATTCCTTGCCTCAGCAAGAGCATTTTGCTGTTGTTGGTTCGGTGCGAGAGAAAGTGTAACCTCTACGGAAAAATGATCACTCAAAGAACAATAGCCACCTGCGCCACCCTTGCCACCTTTTTGTGACGGCATTGACATAGGTTCCGTCATCCCAATCCTGATGTCTTGAACAGAGGAATAACGTGGTGCATGGAAGATGTAGTCTAAGCGCTTCCCCTTTGGGTCCTCAGTCTCCGGGGGCGGTAGAGTCGGCGTGCTCATGCGCCATGTATTGAGAACACTGTCACAAGTTGCACCGAGCACCTCAATATTTGTCTTTGCATTAGTCTTTGGGGGAGTGATAGATGGGGTTGTTGGATTAGCGGACAGCCAGCTGTCAGAGACAAGGCCATGAGTTGATATGATTCGGTGAGCCAGAGACGACGGAATCATGTTGAAATCACCCAACTAGATTTATTAGCTTGTTTTCGTCTTGTCTGGGAAGAAGTCGGATGTTCTCACCCCAATCGCGATATGCCCTTTCTGAACAGCTCCACGGAGCAGCTTTGCAATCTCCCACGCTTGGGCAGTACGGTGACACAAATAAGAATCGTTCTTTTCGTAAGGTGCATGTAGCTAATCCATTCGAAACGTCAGAAGAAAACATAAGAGGCTAAAGATGTCGCCTAAAGTGGACTGACATGTGTATTAAAAATATCGATGGTCTTCCCGCTGGGATGTCGCACAGCAGCACAAGCGACACCTTTCCCAACATACCAATCTCCTCTCCAAAACGCGGTTGGCCGTCCATTGAGCGGGTACCCGAACATGCTGCTCTGCTCAATCGGCCATTTGGAAAGAATTACCAATCCACCGCCAATAGCTCCTGAGAAGTAGAATTTCCCATAGGGCAGAATCGACGAGGTCTTTGTACGTAGGTTCCCATAATCGGCATAAACCCAAAATTCTTGAAGAGCGACAATATCGAATGAAGGTGACGCGCGAGCTATACGAAGCGAGACCTCATTGAGTCGAGCCTCTCGGTGCTTGGCGATGTATTTGAGCTGGAGGAACGATAGACATATTAGGTCTTGACCCGAAAAATAGAGGTGGATGTGCTTACTCCCCAGCAATTCATGGTGAAAACGCGAATTGAAGGGATATCGCCATTGATTTGAGAAGGCCCAGCGGTAGACATGATAATAATTCCGCGTAAATAGATCTTATGTATATATAAACTGGATTTGGATGCAGTGAGGTTGTTGTCAGGCCAGGACTCGAGAGTCTGAAATCTGGATGACTCGGACGATACTCGAACAGCTGGCAGGAGGTCAAGCTTGGCCCTGGCTAGCCTTGTTCTTGCTACCAGTAATATGACAGTGTCCAAGAGGGCCAAGCTTTCTAGGTACAGTACAAGTACCACACCCGAGTACCCGGTACCGGTTGAGAATCTGGATTCTGGTTGTCAACTGATAACCCCGAATACTCTACTTCATCCACCTCAGTCGATATTTGTGATGTATCTTGATCGAAAGAGTCCCTGTTCTCAAGACTGACTCCCACTTGGTGCTAGGACTCGTCCGCGATCTTCTCGCTGACACTCGAACCCCGTTCTTTACGGCACCCATATTAGAATCATCAAGCTTGATCAGTTGCCCCTTGATAAATTCCGTCGCCTGACCCACAAACCCTTTCCAAGGAAACAGAGCCGTTAGCTTTTCGAAGTCAACTCGAACACGACCCTTGTGAGACTCTTCGCCGTCGTTCTGACCCCCCTCGAAACGGAACGTTGATCGGATGCTGTGGATTCTCTCGATGATTACCCCCTCCCATTCATCAACATCGCGTGAACCCAGCCAAGGCTTGCATTTGTACTCCGGTTTTCCACCATTGGCCTCCCTCGCTAGAACTCTTTCTATAAAGAAATGTTTTAGAAATATACGGTATGATAAGAGTGCTGCTGTCAGCAAGTGTTATGGCGACCGGCGGCCTTTAACCTCCGCCGGATGGATCTAATCGTTAGTATGATACCGATATTACTCGAGCACAGTGGAAAACGCTCACCTTATCCTCCTCCTTCCACATTGGTCAATGGTTTGAATACCCGAGTAGATCTACACGCACCCTCTTGAGAGATCACCAGGGCTTGGATTTGGAGATGAGGTGTGGAGAACCATGTCTTCCTGTATCGAATATCCTGCGATAGTCTACTGTGCTGGCGCAAGCACTACCGTTATGGGGGGGATCGAGTTCAATTTCCCATAAATACACCGTTATTAGGGAGGTTTTGCTACGACGGTCGTAACTTGGACTTTCCCCAGACCAGTATTAGCTATTGTTGATAGTAATACAATATGATACGATAACACAGCAACGGCACTAACCTTTCCACATGTGCAATAGTGCTCGGTGGCTCAACTTTGCACAGTCTTACTGTACTGTAAGAACAGTTCTTAAATACCGGTAAGACGGTCGTAAAGTGGTTGTGTTTACGGTACACTTTTGTTCCCTAATATGGGGGGTATATTTTCATAAAAATCCATACATGAAGTTCCATATTCGTGACACAGTAGGGCCATAAGCCAGTCCATATACTGTAGCACCCATACCATTTGGGACACGCATAAAATGCTGACCGGGGATTTTAGGTAGATTTAGTTGGGACAGGTTGAACTGACACAAATTACAATGGGACAATCTAGATATTCACAATTGTGTTTAAGTTCATAATACAGTAAGTAGTACAGTACGATACTAGATTAACTTTGACAAACAATAGCCCTAATTCCTAAGCTCAAGCTTGTTGTGTTATCACAGTAGGAGTAGTATGCGGACAACTATCCAGGGCCTGAGACCTAGGAAGAAAATCTCCACATCATTTAGAAATTTTCTTTTATAATATGGGCGGCACTTTTGCTTTCACCACACAGTACCATAGATCGACCCTATGGTGGACAACATTCTGGAATCAAATCAGCTCCGAAGGGCTGACCAGAAAAGTAAGACATTTGGATGAATTCTGAGTACAGTGAATAAATCGAGTTAACGGTACATTATTTATAAGCAGCTGTCCAGCCCAGTATGTCAGTATTCTTCAAGCCAATTACTAGCATTGACTATATGGAACAGTTAAAGCAGGACGCGATAAAGCATGACTTACAGTGTGTTTTGGACAAAACAGAAGCGATAAAGCAAGTAGGATATCCTACAACCAAGGAGGAAAGAAAGAAGAGGTTACAGCAGCGGAACTGTCACGAATGTGGATTGGCATGAAAAAGGTTTTCACATGACTCATAATTATGAGTCATAGGTATGTTATTGTTTTGCACATATTACCGATTTGGGTCATATGATTTAGTATGTTGTACTTTATTATGTTTCGCACATGACTCGAATGTGAGTCATAGGATGTGCGCCTGGCGAATATGTCTTGTGAGTATGCCATGCAGGTATGCCTTACGCATATGATTTATATTTTGCACATAACCTCGTTATGATGTCATAGGTTTCACGCATATGACTTAATCAAGTCATATGACTTGTTTATTGTGTTATGATTGATTCATGAGTTTTGCACATGACTTTGCTATGAGGTCATGGGTTTTGAGCATGTGACAACTTTGGTCACATAGTTAGTTTGTTATGATTTGGTTTTGCGCATGTGACCACCTTTGGTCACATGACTATGGGCGTGAAGAACACTATATAAGGAGATTGAGGTGGCCGAGGAGGATAGGATCTTTACGCTTTGTTCTAAGTACTTTTCCTACTTATTACTTTAATGAATATAAAAATACCTTTACGATCTTTATCTTTATTGCAATGTTATTGTTACGCTAAGGAAAGTTCTTCACGAAGAAGAGTTAGAGAAAACTTATGATAGGGGTTCCTGATAGAAGACAAAGGTCTTGTACTATTGGTAACGTAGGCAGAGGCCTAGTCCTATCGTAAGACTAAGGAAAGAAATAGAAGAAGAAGAAAAGTATCGGTCCCCATCACCAAGAACTAACTATCCAAGGAGGGATCGTTACATTATAAAGTGTCACCTAGTGCGACGCTAAACGATACAAGACAGCATCCTTCAACCAAGACAGGGAAGGAGATATCGACATCGACGATTAAAACCTTAACCTAGGGGGATTTAGTGATGCCCTAGATCACGTATTAGCAGAACCCTCAAGGGCAGGAAGCCCAGTAACTTCAGAGAAAGGATTACTAGTTGATAGCTCTCCTGCAGGAACCTCATGACCAGAGAGGATATCGGGATCAGCAGTACCTGTGCCACTAGTCCTGGCCGCTCTAGCACCAGGCACTAGCATACTTGGAATGACTGAGAATCAGTTCCAGGCATTTCTGGCAGCAACACGAAACACAGGACAAGGGAATATCCAATGACCGAAAGCGAAAGAACCTGACACGTACGAAGGAGATAAATACAAGCTATGAATATTCCTGGCACAATACGAAGGGTATTTTGCTGTCAAGGGATATGGAGAGCACCATGATGAGATCAAGATTCCCTATGTGGAATCTCTATTAAGGGGAGTTGCGGGACAATAGATCATGCCCTTCCAAGATGGGAGAAAGCAGAGAGAATGGGTAACATACAAGGAATTCAAGGTGACACTCTTTGAACAATTTGGAGATCCCAACGTTATGGAGACAACAAGACGAAAGCGGGAGAAACTTCGACAAGGAAAACAGACCTTTTCGGCATACTGGAATGAATGCCGACTATTGGAATACGAGGCAGAGTTTGACGATGCTACTCTCTAAATCATCCTCTTATGAAACTGTAGTGAGAGACTCTGAGAAGCATGGAGAATCTCAAACTCACGCTACACAACAGTGGAACAATTTGCAAGGTGGGCGATCGATAATGAAAGCAAACTAAACATGGTTTGAAACAACTCAGAAAACACTATAGCATATAGGATAGCCCAATCATCCAGAAACGTGAATAAAACCTTCAAACCACAGGGTAGCTTGAGATGAAAACAGAGCATTACCACTAGGAGAACCAATGGAGTTGGACAAATCAAGAGCAGGACCTGCTCTGAACCTATCGAAGAAAGAATACACTAGAAGAATGAATGGGAAACTCTGCTTAAGGTGCTGAAAAGCAGGACATCGGGTACAAGAATGCAGAAGCCAACCAGACAGTGGATACCAAGAGACCAGGGTTGCTGGAAACAATTGCTTCCAAACTCAAAAGAGGAGAAACATTCGTGAAATGATCACTGAAGATTCACCGGCGGAAAACGATGAGGGTTCACAGTAAATAGTAGTTTGGGAGACCCAAGATGTGGACCAGGAAAACCCATCAAATTAGTGAACTACTATACAGTACTACACACGCAAAGAGAAGAAGAAGACGGAGATTATATAATGATTAAAACAAAGATATACAACGAAGAACGCGAAGCAATAACAATATATGCAATGCTCGACGGGGGAGCGACCGAAGATTTCTTCGACAAGGAAATCTGCCACAAATACGGCCTCCATACCAAGAAAGTGAAGAAAGCAAGACTAGTCTACCTAGCGGATAGAAAGCCAAGTGCTATGGGCTCTATAATCCATACGGCGGAAGTCCCTATGGACATTGACAGCCATAGAGATACGGTAACCTTCCAGGTAGCAAATCTCAAAAACCATGAGATAGTCCTAAGGATGCCAAGGTTACGAAGACATAACCTGATGATCAACTAGAATGAGAATAAGATGACCTTCACAAGTGAACTATGTGCGACACGATGTCTCAATAGTTCACATGTGGTTTATTCGACACTGGTACGAGAAGTGGAAGAAGAAACTTTTCATGCAACGTTCGCTGAGATGCGGCAAGATAAGAGAGTCCAGATACAAAAACTGGACCAAGGGGCAAAAGTGCCTACCAAGGGTTCTAAAGGAGCAGCAGAACATGACCTGTATGCCAACGAAGGAATCAAGATACCTGCCAACAGGCAGGTACCGATAGCAACAGGAATAGTCATCAGACTACCAGAAGGCACCTATAGGCGGATAGCACCCCAAAGTGGTCTAGCAGTTAAACATCAACTTATTACTATAGTGGGTGTGATCGACATCGACTATACAGGTGAAATCAAAGTAGTTTTGGCCAATCTAGCTCAAGAGGACTACGAAGTCCAGAAAGGCGAATCGAATCGCACAGTTGATTATCGGAAAAATCAACAAAGAAAATCTTCTCGAAATAGATCAACTGGAAGAAACCACAAGGGGAGATAAGGAATTTGGAAGCACAGACCAAAACCAGTCTGATACAACAAAATGAATTGAGATCAAGGAGATCACAGCATAGGTCTTCGGACAGTACTATCGAAGAGGAGATATAACAGGAATTCTCAAATGGACATACGAAGACGAAAAAGCGGTCCTAGCGAAAATCAACATCAGCATGGAACTAGCAATTCAAGACAAGAAATACCAAAGTAAAAAAGGATAAAAAGAATAGATTCCAAAAGAATATCATCAGTTCACGAATCTATTTCAAGAAGAGGAAGCTACGCGGCTACCACCCCGAAGACCGGGAATTGACCACGAAATTCAGCTGGACAAAGATGAGAAAACGGGAAAAACAAAAGAGATTCCCTAAAAGAAGTTATACCTACTAGGAGAAGCGGAGCTCGAAGAACTTAGAAAGTATATTGAGCAAAACCAAAAGCGAGGATGGATCAGGAACTCCTTTGCATCTGGAGAATCTCCAATACTATTCGTCAAAAAGAAAGATGGAAAAATGAGACTCTGGGTAGACTACAGAGCCCTCAATTCAGTTACCAAGAAAGATCGGTATCCACTATCCTTAATCAGAGAGGCACTGGATAGTCTATGGTTAGCAAAATACTTCACCAAACTTGACATCAAGGATGCATACCACAATATATGCATCAAAGCAGGAGACGAATGGAAGACTACATTCGCCTCGAGATACGAGATGTTTGAATACTTAGTTATGCTGTTCGGGCTAACCAATGCACTGGCTTCATTCCCATGGTGGATCAACAAGATACTCAATAAGTACCTCGACATATGTTGCATCATATACTTAGATGATGTACTCATCTACTGGGAAAACATGCAACAATATCAGAAGAATGTCAGCAACATTATGGCCACAATACAAGGATCAGGAATGAAGATCAAACCAACGAAATGCAAATTCTATAAGGAAGAAACTGAATACCTCAGATTTATCATCAACCGGAGTGGGGTCAAAGTTGACCCAGTCAAAACAGCAGAAATATGGGATTGAGCTAAACCGAACAACAAAACAGAGGTTTAGTTCTTTATGGGATTCAGCAACTTTTATCGAAGGTTCATAGAAGGGTTTAGCAGGCTTGTAAAACCACTCTATAACCTAATCAAGAAAGACAGAAAATGGAAATGGGGGGAAACAGAGCAAAAAGCATACGATGCTATTCGGACACATTTAATGTCAGTACCAATACTGGTACACTTCAATCCAAACCGAAGGACAATAATCGAAATGGATGTCTCGAAATATGTGTGTTCAGGCATACTATCGCAACAATGCGAAGACGGAAAATAGAGGCCAGTATCTTATCGATCCAAGACAATAACCCCTGCAGAATGTAACTATAATGTTGCAGATAAAGAACTATGAGCAATAGTTCAAGCATTAAAGGAATGGAGGAGTATTAGGTGGAGACAACTTGATAGACTTCAAAGTTATCAGGGCCAATCGAGATTCGTTTCTGTAGACAGAGATTGTCTAGGAAGGCTCAGACTTTGCTCTTTTCGTTTATGACTACTAGAAGCGAAGTAAAATAGGTAAAGTAGGGTAGAATCATAAAACCAATATTATATTGTTAAGGTCTCTTCTCCGTTGCTTGATAATGTCTTAAAGATTGGGAGGCATTTCAATATTTATATTTCGCGTCTGAGTGTTTGCAGACTACATCTATTTATCATACAACTATGTACTTCTTCAATCGTAATTTGTAACATCGAGTTTTCTTCCAAGGTGCGAACACCTGTAGATCCTGAAAACCATCACACCCTCTTCGGTAATTACGATATTTCTTCTTAGGAAGCGTGCTGTCTCCAATAGTAATATCCCAATTAGCAGAGTCTTTAGACATATGGCCTAGTTCTTAAGTCAAACTGAGTTGACTCCAATTGTCTTCGCCATTGATAAAATGATCAGTTGTATCCATTGCTATATCTGCAAAGGGGGTTGTCATTACAACTATCGTAGGTCGTCTGACTCCAATCCTATGTAACTCCATACCCAACCAATAGATTTTCTTTGGATGACTTCCTATTAACTCGCAGGAAGCTATTCCACCAGATTGGTAATTAATCCCTCG